GACGCGGTGCCAACTGCTCGCCCTCGGACGCCTACCGCCCACCTTCTGGCCCCACTGAACGTGGACCGTTTGACCGTTCGGGCTACAACAATCCGGAGATCACGCCCGCCTGCGACCACGTGCCCTGGCCGAGCCGAGCCTCACTGGCTGCCACTGGCTGAGCCGCCGCCTCTTCGCCTGCACACGCCACGTCTGCACCGGGGGGGCCGGCACCGAGGAGACGAGGGGGGGAGGCGGAGGACAAGAGGGAGGAGGAGGCTGGCCCCCCGAGCCCGACAGGTCAGCTCGGAGGCCCGAGGGACGGGTCCTGCGATCGCGACGTCGCCCAGACGCAAGCGACGCACGCAGCCTTGCCATCGCTCGGACGTCCATTCCCCGTGCATTTTTCGGTTTCGTGCGTGTTTTTTCCGCAGAATGATCCAGGATGGTCTTCACTAACCTCCGCCGGACAAAAATGCACACGTCCGAGCGATGCCCAGCGCCACACTCACTCGGCTGCGCGGCGGACGCAGGTCCCCTGCTGCCAGCCGCTGCCCTTCGTGACTCTTCCTTAGGGTCCCCGAGCTCAACCCACGATCCTCTGTGCAGCCCCCAACGCCCATACGCCCCAAGCAGGCGCGGGCTCGAGGGACCAGGCTTCCAAGTTGCCCCGCAAGCGCTCGAGGGAGACACTGGCGTCTCGGTATGTCTCCTGCGCGCGCGTGAGCTCTCTCTCTCTCTCTCTATGCCACCTCCGCCTGCCATCGTGACCCCCCTGGCAGCTCTCTCAGGGGGGCATGCTGGCACGACAGGGAAGCACATCTGTACCCCCTTGCCTGCATCATATTTTTCCTTTCCAACAATGATGAAACAACTATATTCCCGCCCACATATTTCCTCGTCTCCTGGCCCTCAACACTCTGTCACTTCCCACCCGCCGAACTCAGCGCTGGTGGTGACATTTGTAGCGGCCGCAAGTGAACTACTGATCCATTAGGTCTCATGGGCGCTACACGTACATACAAATATCCAAATATTGCATGACTGCGTGCAGTCATACATCAATCCTGGGGGGGGGGCCCTTAGTAAACCACTCTTTAGTGAAAACGGTCTAGGACCGAAACCGACGGACCTGGACCCGCAAAATGACGCTCTCGCGAACCGATTTACCGCCCAACATGGGGAACATGAGTTGGAGCACCAGGTGGAGCGGTAGATCTCGCTGGATCAGCGCGTCGAGGACACTCGGCAAGAGACTCCTCAGGAGCACACGCACTGGGGGCGGTGCAGTGTGGGGACCGCCTGTGGAGGCGAGCTCGAATTAGGCCAACGTGTGGGCGACGTCGGCGGATGGCGACCTGGACTTGTTCGAAGGGGCCCAAGGACACACAAATAAATACACACGAATCCCAGGATTCCCAATGATTTTCCATATTTTGTGGATTTTCGTCTTCCCCCCCACTTTCCATATTTCCGCATATTTTCTGGGGAATCGACGATTAACGGTGTCTGTGTTTTTTTTGTCCCTCCTGAAACTTCGGGTGCGATGGCCAACGATTTGTCATGACCAGTGCGCGAAGTGGTTTGAGCTCAGCCTGGCGAAATGTGGGCTTCCCGTCGCTCCAAACGGGCTTGAGCCGCCATGGCTATGGACCACCTCCTCCGGCTCCTTCTCCCAAGCGGAAGCACACGTAATGAATGGCGACCCCAGGGGTACGTGCGGGCAACCCCTGCTCATGACAGCTCAATGCGCAGTCTCGTGCTCCGTGCCTGGGTCGATGTCTTTGGAGCCCCCACACCCGTCGCGCTTCAACATCCGACGTCGTGAAACAAATCTGTCCTGAACTCGGCGGCGCGCACAAGGGGATAGGGGAAGGGGGGGAGGCTTCTTAGAAGGAGGCCGCTTCTAAGACGGCGCTGGCCTTACATCTATAAAGAAGGCCCGCGCCTTCTAATAAGCAAGGGTGCTTCTACGACGCCTCCCCCTCCCCTTACCCCCCTCTGCGCGTGGCCGATGAACTCTTGATCCGCCTGCACGGTTTCCCCCAGGGGCGTAGGCGACCCGAGGAGGAGGAGGAGGAGGAGGAGGAGGAGGAGGAGGAGGAGGACCAGACGCTGAAGAAGAACCTTCGGGACAACGCGGACGGCAACTACGTATTGATGGAGACCGCTTTCCACGACGAGGACCAGGACCTGCACGACGGGCTCCATGCGAGGACCCGATGGTACCACACCGCGGGTTAGTGCAGCGCCATCGTGATCATCCCGAGGAGCTTGACATGGACGGCAGACCCAGACGCCGAGAACGCCTTGCGGGAGCCGACGTCACCTTGGGGAGCCAAGTACATTTCGCAGACCAAGATGCAAACAATCGCCACGGACAACACCGAGCCACGGCTGGCCATCGACATCACGGAGACGGCTGCCAAGATGAAGATCCCGTGCGCCCTGATCCTGCCACCGCACCGCGCTGCCTGCCCACATCCGAGCACGCTGGACGAGTTCCCAGCGTTGCGGGCATCGCGGACGGAAAGCAGGAGGATGGTCTGCGCCAGCGGCATAGATCTGCAGCACCAGACGACCACGGAGCGGGAGCTGAGCGAGCTCCTACGTGGTGCTGTGGGCGCGCGCAGCCTCCGCGTGGGCGCTGGCACGGGCTCGGGCGCTGGGCACCACGACGCACCTCGCGCTGCCCAAGGCGCCGCGGCAGCCGCGCGTGAGGGTGACTGAGCGGGCCGCCGTGCCGCGCGGCCCCACCAGGGCTGCGGCCCCTCTGCTCACGTCCGAACCCTCAGCCCCCACTTCCCCCTTTTGGCCCCTGGAGCCCCTCGAGCCCCGCCCTTTCCCTCCTTGGGGGGCTGAGGGTCGGCGACTGTTCACCCCACAGCGGGTGACGGCGTGTCGCCGCCTGCGTCTCACCACCATCCAATCACCCAATCGGCTGGCAGCTGGCAGCAGGCGGCAGCTGGCTAGATGGGTGGTGGTGCGGCGCGGCTGCGACCAGGAGCGCAGTACAAGGCCTTGGGCCTCCTCCTCCCTTCCTGGCCCTCGAGGGCCTTCCCCCCCTTCCCCTCGTGGGCTCGCTGGCCTCCGCCTCTCTTCTTCGCGCCCTCGCTGGCGTCCTCCCTCCCCTCTGGCGTCGGGCCCAGCCTCAGCCCCTCTTGGGCGTGCCCGTGGGTGTCTTGGGCTTGGGGTCCCCGCTGTCCCTTTCTTCAGGGCCTTGGAGCCTCGTCCCCCTCCCGCGGGGTCCCTGGCCGCCCACTCTGTTGCGGTAGGCGGACGCGGCGCCGCGCGACGCGGCGGCGCGGCCATGTGGAGGTGCTGGACACCGCGGCGTGCGCCACGGGGTGAGTCAGTGAGTGAGGAGGAGGAAAGGAGGAGGAGGAGGAGGAGGAGGAGGAGGAGGAGGAGGAGGAGGAGGAGGAGGAGGAGGAGGAGGAGGAGGAGGAGGAGGAGGAGGAGGAGGAGGAGGAGAGGAGGAGGAGGAGGAGGAGGAGGAGGAGAGGAGGAGGAGGAGGAGGACGAGGAGGAGGACGAGGAGGAGGAGGAGGAGGAGGAGGAGGAGGAGGAGGAGGAGGAGGAGGAGGAGGAGGAGGAGGAGGAGGGGAGGAGGATAAGGAGGAGGAGGAGGAGGAGGAGGAGGAGGAGGCGGAGGAGGAGGAGGAGGAGGAGGAGGAGGATGGGAGGGGAGGAGGAGGAGGAGGAGGAGGTTGGAGAGGAGGAGGAGGAGGAGGAGGAGGAGGAGGAGGAGGAGGAGGAGGAGGAGGAGGAGGTGAGGAGAGGAGGAGGAGGAGGAGGAGGAGGAGGAGGGAGGAGGAGGAGGAGGAGGAGGAGGAGGAGGAGGAGGAGGAGGAGGAGAGGAGGCGGAGGAGAGAGGAGGAGGAGGAGGAGGAGAGGGAGGAGGGGAGGAGGAGGAGGAGGAGGAGGAGGAGGAGGAGGAGGAGGAGGAGGAGGAGGAGGAGGAGGAGGAGGAGGAGGGAGGAGGAGGAGGAGGAGGAGGAGGAGGAGGAGGAGGAGGAGGAGGAGGAGGAGGAGGAGGGAGGAGGAGGAGGAGGAGGAGGAGGAGGAGACGGAGGGGAGGAGGAGGGAATGAGGAGGAGGAGGAGGAGGAGGAGAAGGAGGAGGAGGAGGAGGAGGAGAAGGAGGAGGAGGAGGAGGAGGACGAGGAGAGAGGAGGAGGAGGAGGACGGGTCGCCCGAGCACTTCTGAGAGACCCTTCAAATCCGCCTCCTATGCGGTGCCCTCTCGCACTGGACTGGCCCGGAAAGGCCAGACGACTTGCCTACGGGGCAAACGCGCCCGCCGCGATCCTTCCGCGGCGCCAGGGCGCCGAAAGCCCTCCCGGCCAGCACCTCCTTCCGGAAGCCCTCCCCAGCTCGGGGACGCGCGAGCACGGATTAGCGATCCATGGATGTGGCGTGCGGTCGCCAAATCCATGGATCCGGGGAGGTGCCCTCCCCAGAATGCGGCCGGTGCCGCCTGACTCGGCGGCGGGAGTCCGGGATTTCCCATGGAGGCGGGACCCGTCGCTGGTCCACGCCCCCTTGATCCATGTGTCTGCGATCGCCTGGCCAGCGTCCTCCCAGGCACGATCCCGGCTCGCGGCCCGAGCCGCGCCCGGCCGTGGCGACGGAGGGGGGCTCCGAAGGCCCGGAGCGCGAGGGAGGGGGGAGGAGGACCCCCAGAGGCCTGCTGCGATCCCTGCCCCCGGGGGAGGCCGACGACGTGCCCACGAGACTTCGATCCCCGAGCCCTCGGCTCTCGAAGCTGGGGTTCGAGGATGCCGCCCCCGCGTGGCCCGAGAACCCCCCTGGACGGGTCGCGCACACCGCCTCGACGTGGAGTCTGGAACACCCTGGGCGACAGCCGCTCTGGGACCGCATGGCATCAACAAGAAGTGTCTCTGCCCTGCTGCGGGCGAGCCAGCTGCGCCGGGCCATCTTCCCGACTGGCGGGAAGGGCGCTCCGCCGTGCACTGATGCAGGACAGCGCGGCGAGCCGCTGAAGGCTACGGCGCCGTCCTCTGGGAGGTGGTCGACATCGACTATGGCGGCCTCGTAGGCTGCGCTGGCGGTGGCGATGGCCGCCGGCTTGTCCTGGAGGACCTGCCGTGCGGCCGAGCTTCCCTCATTCCTCTTTCCTCCTCTTTCGTCCCTTGATCCTCTTGTTGCCTCCTCCTCCTCCTCCTTCTCCTCCTCATCCTCCTCCCTGCCTCCGTCTCCTCCTCCCGCCTCCGCCTCCTCCTCGTTTGGACCTCATCGGGCTCCTGCCCCGAGTGACCCGATCCCGTCCCCGCTTGCGACTCGTTGCCCGCAGCAGATGGAGATCGCGGTCCGCCTGGAGGCGTCCCCTGGCGGCCTGGTTCGAGAGGCTCTGCCGCGTCCCGCCGCTAGCCAGACTGCTCGCCGCTGACCAAAGACCGTCTCGAGAGGCTCTTGCGCGGCATGCGATGCACGAGGTCTCTCCGCGGCCACGAGCTGGTGAGCCCGGAGCAGACGCTGGCGGGACCCTCTCAGATGGCGGGCAGAGATTTCAGAGGTCTCGTGCCAGAAGATGTCAACGAGGGGTGACAATGATGGTGTGGAACTCCTTGATCGTATCCGACAAGAGCCCAGTCGGACTCCGTGTGGGAGTCTCGCGGGCGCCCTGTAGGACTCCACATGCGAATCCTACAGGAGCCTCTTGGACCCCGATAGCGAATCCTAGATGAAATCGACCTGGACATGAATAATACATGGGGCTTTATAAGAACGCTATGCAAGCCTCAGTGAATGCCCTGCAGGAGTATTCAAATAACCCTATGTTACTCATGTTGGGGATCCCCTAAGAGCTCTACCAGAGTTCGAACATTGATTCTGGGAGGAGCCCTAGTCAGAGCCCTGTAGGGGTTTTATTGTAACCGTATGTGGCTTTTGATGGTTTTCCTATTCGAGTCCTAAACTGGACGTTTAGTAGGAGCCCTGTTCGGCTCCAGACTTAACCAATCAGGACCTGCATGGTACTGCGAGTAAAGGTCCTCGTATGGCCCATATGATATCGCCCAGCGCAGTGACGTCATACAGGGACTCAGATCAGACCTCGCCATCCTTAGGAGGCTGCGGAATGCGAACAGGCTTCAGATCAGACCTCGCCGTGCCTGGGGGCTGTTGACTGCGCGACTGTCGCCACTTTCGAGGGCTGCTGGGCGGTCGAACGCACGGACGCCATGCGGGGATTCAGATTAGACTCGCCATGCCTGGGGTGTTGCGAACTGCAAAGCTATCGCCACTTTCGAGGGCTGCTGGGGGCCCAGCGCAGTGACGCCCTGCGGGGAGTCAGATTCGACCTCGCCATCCCTCGGGGCTGCGAACTGCGAAGCTATCGCCACTTTCGAGGGCTGCTGGACAGCCCAGCGCAATAACGCCCTGCGGGGATTCAGATTCGAACTGGTCGTCCCTCGGGGCTGCAAACTGCGAAGCTGTCCCAACTTCCGAGACCTCGCTCGTTTCCTGCACTCGGCATGTGCAACTGGTCAGTCGGAGTGCTAGAGCTAGAGCGACGCGGCGTCGGCGTCGCTGCCCATCGGCGGGCCACTTGAAACATTGTCATTCTCCTTTGTCATCCCTGCTCCCTATTCCGGGGCTTTTCCCTCTCTTGGCCTTGACGTGATGCCCCTACTTCTGCCTTCCCCCCTCTGTCGATTAAAGCTGTGCGCGGCCCGCTTAGCTTCGACCGGAAGAGGCTCGCTCTCGACCCGCGGATCAACAAAAAAAGTCATCCCTGCTCCCTCCTTGTCGTCCTCTTCCTCCTTACCCCTTCCTGCTGCTCCTGCGTGGACTTTTCGGCACCCCGTCCGCCCTCCTCCGCCGCTTCGCTCCCGCCCCCCACTCCTCTTCGAGCCCGGGGCCTCGCTCCTCGTCCTCCGACTGCTGCTCTGTGAGTCGTGCAGCGCGCGGGCATTCCACGTAGCCCGTGTAGCAGACGACGGCTCTTGGGCTGCCATCGTCCATATAGCACATTGGGCCAACCACTCGGGGCACGTGGTGCGGACGTGCTCGATGCGTCGCAGGGTACTTTTGAGGGGTCTCGTCGGAATCCTGGGAGATCGCACTTCGGAAGCGGCCCCTCCCCGCACCCTGCCCTGGGTCTGGACTGCACGGGTGGGGGTGGGGGGGAACGGAGACGGCGGCGATGTGGCAAACTGCCCTTGTTGGGCTTGTGGCCCCCAAATGATTCCCGATGGGCCGAGATGGTCTTAAATATGGCTCAATACAGGTCGCTATGGTTCATGACAGCTTCTGGCATACCCTCCGGATGTTCCAAGAGGGGCACACGATTGCCCCAAGTGGCCCCGAAACTTCCCAAGGACCCCCCCTCTCCAACATTTCCGGCTTCCGAGCAGGGGACCCGCATTTAAGACCCCTCTCACTTTTGATCTGTGACGCTGAAGGAGGGATGAGGAGTAGCAGTGGATGCGGAAGACGGGGATGAGTACGATGCGTGAGAGGGATGGGGGCAGACACAAGAGAGATGGTCGATGATAAAAAAGGGGGAAAGGCGGTAAGGGAGACTGGTGGAAGCGCGTTAGAGGAGCGAAGGACGCGGGATGGGCACGATGACCACGGGGAACACGAAAGTGAGGGGGACGAGCACCGGGAGGGGATGCCGGAGGGGGACTAGGATGATGAGCAGGAGCTAGCGCAGACAATTGGCGCAGCCCAGAGCAGAGGGGGGGGTAAGGAGGACCATTCGGCGGTGGACAAACCTCCCTTTAGCAAACCTCCCTTTAGTGAAAACGGCCTGGGACCGAAACCGAAGGACCTGGACCCGCAAAAATGACGGCCGTGACGCCCTCTCGCGAATCGAACATGGCCAATTCGCTAATCGACGTGTCAGGGTGGGTGGTCTGTCCACCCCCTTTCCATGAGGAAGGAAATATGAAGCGGTAGGAGGGGGAAGGGGGGGGGTGGCGGGGAGGAGGGAGAGGGTGGAGGAGGAGCAGGATCAGGGCACAGATGGGGAGACATCGGCTCGTGGCCTCGTGCTGGAAGACCGAGAAGTTGAGCTGCAGGCCGAGGCGAACGGGGTGCGCAGCAAGCAAGTGCTTCTGGGCCTCCTCAGCGGAGACAGCGGGCACGAGTGAGGACGGCCAGGGGGGAAGGGAATGATGATGATGATGATGATGATGATGATGATGATGATGATGATGATGATGATGATGATGATGATGATGATGATGATGATGATGATGATGATCAGGAGTCGGATGAAGACGAGGAGGGGCAGGAAGGATGAAGACGAGGAGGAGTAGGAGAAGCAGGAATACCATCATGAAACGTATCATTACGACGACGATGATGATGCTGCTGATAATGATGACGATGACGATGCTGATGATGCTGATGATGGTGATGATGATGGTGATGATGATGCTGACGATTCTGATGATGGTGGTGATGATGGTGGTGACGATACTGCTGCTGCTGCTGTTGATAATGATGCTGATGATGTTTTTCATGATGATGATGATGATGATGATGATGATGATGATGATGATGATGATGATGATGATGTGGTTGCCTGCTGTAAAAGAGCGAGGCCCTCTGGCAATCGCCGAGAGTCTTGGAGGCAATCCTGCCATACTGACTCCATTTTCACTTTATGTGGCTGTTTGGTTTCTCGCGTGTTTGACTGAACATGTTCAATCGAAGTACGTATCACAGCTCCAGTCCCGTGCGACGGAGCCAAACCACGTCTTCAAGAAAAGTAATTCATGCACGACCTGTCATGACAGCAACGCCCTCCACAGGAAACCTCTTTATGTTGTATTCGTCCAAGCCTTTTCCGCGGCGAACCTTCGAACACTAGAACTCAAGATCGGGACACATGCCACGCAAAGAAGCCCAGTCGTACCACAATCCGCTGTACAACTTGCCTATGTTTATGGCAACGGCAACTGCATTGTACTTCTCTGTCTACTCAGCGCTGGAATCGCTGGTGTCCTTAAACTGTGAGCAGCATCGGAAACTTAATCACCAGCCATAGGTAATAATTGCCGTCATTGCCTCAATACCTTTAAATGAGATTGAACATATGCTGAGGAGGAGAAGGAATCAAGGAGGCGGAGGCAGAGCCCTTCCTACTCATGCTCTTCCTCCTCCTCTTCCTCCTCTGCTCCTCCTCCTACTCCCCCTCCTGCTCCTGCTCCTGCTCCTCGTCCTCCTCCTCCTCCTCCTCCTCCTCCCTCCTCCTCCTCTCCCTCCTCCTCCTCCTCCTCCTCCCTCTCCTCCTTCTCCTCCTCCTACTCCTTCTCCTCCTCCTCCTGCTCCTCCTCCGCCTCCTCCTCCTCCTCCTCTTCCTCCTTCTCCTCCTCCTCCTCCTCCTCTTGGGCCACGTCGGGGCAAGGGGGTGGCCTGGCCCGCGGGGTGCTCCTGTAGGGCCTTCGCGTACGCGGCGCCGGCCTGCTCGACCGCATACTCCCGCGTGGCGTCGTCGGCGACCTGGCAGCGGCCGACCCATGCTTGCGGTGTGTGCGTGCGCGCGCGCGCGTGTGTGTGTGTGTGTGTGATTGTGTGTGATTGTGTGTGTGTGTGTGTTTGTGTTTGTGTTTGTGTGTTGTGTGTTGTGTGTGTGTGTGTGTGTGTGTGTGTGTGTGTGGGTGTTTGTGTGTGTGTGTGTGTGTGTGTTTGTGTGTGTGTGTGTGTTTGGCTGTGTGTTCCCCCTCGCTCCCCCTGGTCGGCCCAAGTTCTGTGTGCTGGATTGGTCCTTCTTTCTGCTTGGCTGCCGTTGCCGCCTTCCCGCTGTGCCTCGCTTGCCCCCATCTCCCCCCAGGATGATGATGATGATGATGATGATGATGATGATGATGATGCTGATGATGATGATGATGATGATGATGATGATGAGGAGCACGATGCTCATGATGATGATGATGATGCTGACGATAATGATGATGCTGCTGATGATGATGATGATAATGATTCTGATTTTGATGCTGATTTTGATGCTGATGCTGCTGATGATGTTGATGCCGATGATGATGACGATGCGGATGATACTGATGATGATAATGGTGATGATGCTGATGATGTTGATGATTGTGATGATGATTCAGAATATGATGATGGTGATGATGATGATGGCGATAACGATGCTGCTGCTGATGATGTTGGTGACGATGATGCTGCTGCTGATGATGCTGATGACGGTGATGGCGATGATGACGATGCTGCTGATACTGATGATGAGGATGATGATGGTGTTGCTAATGATGGTGATGCTGCTGCTGCAAATGATGATGGTGATGATGATGATGATGATGATGATGATGATGATGATGATGATGATGATGATGATGATGATGCTGGTGGTGGTGATGATGAAGATGATGTGTATGATGATGACGAGCAGGAGGAGGAAGAGGAGAAGGATGATGATGATGATGATGATGATGATGATGAGGAGGAGGAGGAGGAGGAGGAGGAGGAGGAGGACGAGCCGTGGACGCGGGAGGACTCGCGCACATATAGGGAGTCGCGACGGATCAGATAGCCGGGCGCCTTCGCCCGACAGGCGGTGAGGGGTGAGGGCATGGGGATGGCAGAGTGGGCGGAGAGGGCGGAGAGGGCGGGTGAAAGGCGGAGGAGGAGGAGAAGGAGGAGGAGAAGGGAGGAGTAGGAGGAGGAGGAGGAGGAGGAGGGAGAGGAGATTGAGGAGAAGGAGGGAGGAGGAGGAGGAGGAGGGGGAGGAGGAGGAGGGGAGGAGGAGGTGGGAGGAGGAGGAGGAGGTGGAGGCGGGAGGAGGAGCAGGAGGAGGAAGGAGGAGAAGGAGGATGAGGAGGAGGAGGAGTGAGGTGGATAGGAGAATCCTGCACGATGCCCTCCAGTGAAGGAGGAAGAGGGAGGAGGAGGAGAGGTGAAGGAGAGAGGAGCACGAGGAGGAGGGAGGAAGAAGAGGAGTGAGGAGGAGGAGGGGAGGAGGGGAGGAGGAGGAAGGTAGGAGGGAGGAGGGAGGAGGAGGTGGAGGAGGAGGAGGAGGGGAGGTGGAGGAGGAGGGGGACGAGGAGGAGGAGGAGGAGATGATGAGGATGAGGAGTGCTGTAGAGGGGGGGGAGGTGGAGCGAAGGCCGGGGGAGGTGCAGGAGGATAGGGAGGGGGGGGGGTGGGTGGGGGGGCTGGGTGGGGGTGGGATGGGGCGGGGGGGAACGGGGAGGAGGAAAAACAGGAGAGCAGAAAAGCATGATAATAACAACCGTAGCACTGATAGTATTGATATAAATCCGCCGACCCTGTCGGCGTGTGTGACGGACTTTTCCGTTCGAGCCGTCATCTCCGTCATTCTTTGTACTCGTCGTCTCTGTCCTTCCCTTTCCCTGGGAGACCTCTTCCCCTGGGCTCCAGCCAAGCCGACCTTGAGCAACCTCGTAATTGAGTCGAAGGGAAGCCCCTTCCCTTTGATCCCTCCCCCGCCGGGGGGGGGGGGGTAGCGACCCCCCCCCCGGGTCAGATACGACGCCCCCCCCTGGGACTCCTCTTCCCCTGGGCTCCAGCCAAGCCGACCTTGAGCAACCTCGTAATTGAGTCGAAGGGAAGCCCCTTCCCTTTGATCCCTCCCCCGCCGGGAGGGGGGGGGGTTAGCGACCCCCCCCCGGGTCAGATACGACGCCCCCCCCTGGGACTCCTCTTCCCCTGGGCTCCAGCCAAGCCGACTTTGAGCAACCCCTGGGCTCCAGCCAAGCCGACCTTGAGCAACCTCGTAATTGAGTCGAAGGGAAGCCCCTTCCCTTTGATCCCTCCCCCGCCGCCGGGTGGGGGGGGGGGGGTAGCGACCCCCCCCCGGGTCAGATACGACGCCCCCCCCCTGGGACTCTCTTCCCCTGGGCTCCAGCCAAGCCGACCTTGAGCAACCTCGTAATTGAGTCGAAGGGAAGCCCCTTCCCTTTGATCCCTCCCCCGCCGGGAGGGGGGGGGGTAGCGACCCCCCCCCCGGGTCAGATACGACGCCCCCCCCTGGGACTCCTCTTCCCCTGGGCTCCAGCCAAGCCGACCTTGAGCAACCTCGTAATTGAGTCGAAGGGAAGCCCCTTCCCTTTCATTCCTCCCCCGCCGGGAGGGGGGGGGGGTAGCGGGGGGGGTAGCGACCCCCCCCCGAGTCAGATACGACGCCCCCCCCCCGTACCGACCTTGAGCAACGTCGTCATTGAGTCGAAGGGAAGCCCCTTCCCTTTCCCTTCCCCGACGGGGGGGGGAGAGGAGGTCCCGGGGGGGGTCCCGGGGGAGTCCCGGGGAAGTCCCGGGTCAGATACGACACCTCCCTCCCCCACCTTCTCGTCCTTCTCCCCGTTCCCCCAAACCATCCCACAGCCCGTGCCTCTTGCTGCGCATTGCGAACAGGGTCGGCGGCACCGGCCGTCAGGCCTTCGCAATAATAAGAAGAGGGGACTTCAGGGAGCCGGAGGCAGGATCAGAAAGCTTAAACTACTCTTAGGCTCTTGGGAGAGCTTGGCCTCTCAACCCTTGGGATGCTCTCCATATGGCCAACTCGGGCAATGTTGTGGTGATGCTTAATCCTTTTTGAGGCATGCTGGAGGCCATCTTGAGCCAAAACGAAGAATCTTGCGCGAAATTGGAGGCCAGGTTGGGCCACCTGGGGCCATCTTGGACGCTATGACCGTTGCCGCTCGCGGGGGGGGGGGGGAGGGGGGAAGCGTCCAGACCCATGGGATGAGGCAGGGGGGGGTCAAGACCCTCCCCAAATTGGAGATGTCTCGTATGACTTCTTGGGCTCGTGCTGGGGCCATACTTCCGTATCCTCTTGCATGCACATCGTTAACTGTCGGTTTAGCTAAGAAGAGTCCGGCAAGGGACGGATCAGACGGATTCTGGCAAACATTGCATCGACGTGATTTGACCACCCAGCTTGATTGCTTGAACTGGAGTCGGGGGTTGGAATAGAGAACCCACCAGAACACCTACGCCCAGAGGGCTGGTCGGGTTTGGGACTGGAGGGATGTATTTCAGCGGAGCTGGGCTTATTATAGGCCGTCTGCTCTACCTCCTTCTCCTCCCCCTTCTCTTGATCCTCTTTTCTCTTCCACCACTACCTCCTCCTCCTCCTCCTCCTCCTCCTCCTCCTCCTCCTCCTCCCTCTCTTTTCTTGTCTTTCCGCCTCCGATGGGCTGAAGAGGTCTCAAGATGTCTCACGAGAGTCCTACTATTGACCCTATGAGAGCCTCAACAGGCCCTCAGAAGGCGATCGTTCGGGCTTCAGGAAGACAATATGAATTTAGGAACGCCCTTCTTTGGCTAAGGACTTTGAGGACGGTCCTCGGAGGGTCCCGAATGCTGCCCAAAGAGCCCAACATGGCCCCAAGACATCTGCAGGAAGGCTCCCAGAGGCCGCCGAAAGGCTCGCATAGTTCCCCAGGTCGACGAGTGTCGGGGCCTGCTCGGGTTGATCCTAACTTTGGTTTCACAGGTGTCCATTGTCTTCATGTCACTGGTGCTCCCATTATCCCAACAACTCGCCAAGGAATCTTTTCTGGATGGGCTGGGGGAGGAAGTGCTCGAAGCGTCACTCATACATCAATGTCTTCATTTTACTTCGGTGAGAGGCCGCTGTCTATATGTGAGATCCCAATGTGCCTGACACATGTGCAAGATCTGGCAGAGGACGGAATCGTGCTATCCCGACAGAATATGGACATGTGTTAATCCGTGAAACGAGAAGGGCGGATTGACGATAAGCTCACAGCCATGCCGAAGGAGGTGGCAGCGTGAGGGCTAGTGCGATGAGGGCACTACGACACCTGCAATACGAATCAATGGCAATAGTCATTTTCGAGACGGTAGTACCTGCCACCGTGCCACCAGGCATGAAGTGGAGTGTTCTCAACTACCTTCGAGCTCTGAGTGCTGACCATGGTAAATGTTACCCAGAGGCTCCGGGGCCCAAATTCCTGGGCGCTCTCGGGCTGCGTGTCGTGATTTTCCTGGAGGCTCGGGATCGTGGCTTGGAACCCATGGGTTAATGTGGTCCCAAGGCCCGTGCTGAAACACTCTAGGGGACTTCCTCTGCCGTCTTGGAAGGCGTCGGAGCCTGCCCTGGAGGTCAACGTTATCGATCAGCGTGAACGTTATTGTATCGCTTGTTGTATTGTCATTGTTTTGGTCTCAGGAGAGCCCAGGACGGCCCAAGATCGCTCCAAGACGGAGGGCCCGAGAAGCTTCCAAAACGGCCTCAAGAAGGGCCCAAGAGGGCGAACCCGAACTGACTCCGAAAGATGACCTATAAGACCGCCATCAGGGCCCGCAGGAGACCCTGAATAAGCCCTCGAGAAGCTTCCTCGAGGCCGCCAAGGCGCTTCCCCCATGACCATACGAAACATCTCAGAGGCCTCCTGTTCACGGCCTATGCGCAATGGCGGGGGATGGGCCGACGGCCACTAGATACTTGAACATGAACTTGAGGAGGAGCTGATAAGGGAACGGGAGAAGGAGGA